GTTGACAAGTGATCGCCGATCAGACATGGTTCATCCTCACCGCAAAACACCGTCGAGTCGCTGGAAACGCGATCATTGCTGGGACGTTTGCGGATTCGTCACCGCTCCGACGATACCGCTTTGTTCCTGTGCGTGCAGATTTCAGAATCCGCGTTTCCGGTCTTCCGGAGGCTACTCTCGAACGAGTTCTGGCGACGAGAACCGGAGATCGAATTACATCGGATCGAAGTTCATTATTTCGATGACAGGATTCCAACGAATGTTGATTGGATAGATTGAAATTGAAATTATTTATTCTTTCTTCAAATAACGAGACTGTGCACGTTTGTAGGAAATTTACAAAGAATCTTATTATACGTGACGGGGAAAAGTAGATTCCAATCCCTTGACTTTATTCTTTTAACAACGTATTATTTTTACAATCAATTTCCTACTTCTCATAAAAATATGAAATTGCACAAAATGTCATAATTTAATCTAGTAGAATATGCTAAAAATTTATTATGTAAGTTAAGTAGTAAAATAGAAATTATATAAAAGGATTAATTAATTAAATTATATAAATAGAAAATTATTCATTACATTAGTCTATCCACTCTAAAATATTATACATAATATAAAAGTATAATATTCAATAACATAATTAATATATAAAAAATATGTAATAATCTAATTCTTTAGATTCAGAATTACAAGTGTCCTGTAGCATCTAAAGAATACCACAAAGTTACATCGATGTACATACATTTTTAGGCGGACAGATAACTAAGTCATCACGTCAGGACGTCGATGTATTTCAGACTGATGTAATGAAAGCCAAAGGCAGGGGGGAATCGCTTTCTAATGGGATGGACAGAGAGATGAGGAGTGTACGAATAGCGAGCGAAAAGGAGACACCATCAAAGCGGCCGCGTGTCACTCTTTTGCCGCTCTTCGTCTCGCTGTTTCTCCGTTCCTCCCATTAGAAATTCTAATAAAGCCATCTCAGGTGTAAAAAACGTATCGGCTCCCCCATGAATCACGTGACGCAAAGCAGAGCCGCCAGGACACGTGTATCTATTATGCCTTTCTCTCCACGACGCGAATAGGGATGCGCTTTGCTCGGTGTTTTCTTCTCTCCGTCTTCCATCCCCCAACAATATTCACTGCTTATCTGATGAAAATCAATCTGTGAACAAGCAATTATCATCATCGATACTGATTTCTAATCAGTGAGTATATTTTTTTGTGATTTATAGGTGGAAATGAGTAGAAATGATTTGCAAAGAAAAAGAAATGAGAGTAAATAGATATATGTATAGTAGAGAAAATTAATATAAAGTATATATTTTTGAATTCTATATTTTTAATTATTATTATATTATTATATTATGCATTATATATGTACAATTTTTTTTTTAATTTATTTTCGTTCTTGGACAATCAATTAGAATTCGAATGAACATACTAAACTTGTCAATGACATAAAGAAAATCATCAACCTGGTATTTATGCAAACGCATGAAACTATCCACGTAAAGATCACGTTTCTTTATACTATTATACATATTACTAATGGAGATAGTTAGAACGTAATCTTTGACTAATACTCCTTGCTATTCATCATTGACATTTAATGTGGTAGGAAACTATAGATCAGTAAATACATTCGAATAATTTAAATTTCATTGTAAAATCAAAATAAAAAAAAATTTTGACTTTGCCTTTTTAAATTTGAGCACATCAATCTTTTTGATCATTTACTTTATGAGTTTTAGAAGATTTTTTAACTTAATCATGATTATTTTTAATTTATTTTAGCGTATCATTATCTTTTTAAGATGAATGTTTAACAAAGAATACAATAACATTGTAATACAATGACAATGATGCTCTTAAATTTAAAAAGACAGTCATAATCTTTTCTTATTTTAGAGACATTTGTGGCGTGAAAAAAATTAATAATATTAGACATTAATTATTCTCACGCATTTTATATTTTTACATCACGCTTTTACATTTTTTGATTAGAATTAAAGAAGTGAAACCTCGATAATAATTTGCTTTATTAATTTGTCTAATAAAAACACATTGATGATTAATTTGCTTTATTAATTTGTCTAATAAGTAGAGTATCTTTTACATCTAGTAGACAAATTAATAAAACAAATTATTATCAATGTTCTTTAAACAATCAAAAAATGTAAAACTACACGTCCGGTAGACAAATTGAATATTTCATAAATAACACAGAACATAACATAGAACGTAGAACATTAAAAAATAGTACGTAGTTCAATTACAATGATTTTTCCAAAACTGTCCTTAAAAAGTATTCCCAATGTCGCAAGGATTTAATAAAATGTCTAATAAAATGTTCAGATGTTTAAAAAAAATACAGAAAAGCGTCTCGCAACTAGAAACTCAACTAGAAACAGACAAGGAGAGAAAAGCAGTAGAGCGGAGAGGGGAAAAAATATATCTTGAATTCATGGCCGGCACGCGGCTAACTTTGAATTAGAAGTAAGATAGTTACAACTAAGACGCGTTGCAGAAAAACCAATACGTATCCGCGTGCCGGCCATGATAGATTGCCGGAGCTATGGGAAACTATCTGTCAAGCACCATATCGACCCTCGCCCTCCTCGTCCAACCCATGGAAGGTTTACTCTCGCTACCAGAGAAAGAGCACAACCCTGGAACGAACGATGGTAGCCGAGCAGAAACCTTCTATACGAAACCTTTACTCGGCCCCCCTTTTTCCTCTCTCTTTCACCCTCTTTTTATCTCTGTTTCTTTCTCTCTCCCCCCCTCTCTCTCTCTATCTAGTTCTTCAGCAGAATCCATGGTCGAGGAGAGCCATTTGCGAAATATTCACAAGTTGAGAATCTGTGGAATGGTTCTTCTTCGCCATAGATTGCTGTGTTTGTATAAGGAAAGAGTGCTGGCATGCACGAGGAATTCTTCGCGATAAGGGAAAACCGTGATCCCTATTAAAATGTTTTATCGACACCTCGTGATCGACCGATAACGACGACACGACTCGCGATTCATCGGCGTCGTTTGTTGAGTCGCTTTCATGCGATTGCTGGTAATTCATTGACGAGGATCGAGTCTTCGTTGGCGGTCTGAATTAATTCTAAAGAAAAGATTTTCTTTTGCAGTATATGTATAAAAGGAAATCTTTTCTCTAGAATTAATTCAGACCGCCTGCTGCTGATTATATTGGGAGAACTGCTTCCGCTTTTAATATATGATAAACAGTTTCGTGAATTATTGAATATCATACGATAATAATTTATTTTCAGTATAGAATTACTTTACGAAATTCTACGAAATTCTTTAATCTACAATCTTAGGAAACAGTTGAAAAAGAATAGAAATTTTTATCACAAGGGAACTTGATTTTTTTTTTACGTCAAAGTCAACAAACGCAACGTATGTACTAAATCTGTTGTTTATAATGATTTCCGACAGTGTTAAATTAAATATTCAGTAGAGACAATATTAAATGTTTTCATTAGTTAATTAAACGATTTAGTACTACTACTAAAGAAAAAAGAATTGCTTAGAATTTCAATGATTATCATCGCGATTTTAATGTAAAAGAAATCAAGTTCCCTTATGATAAAAATCACTGTAGAAAAAATCAAATTGACACAAGGTTAAATTATAATTTCGCGGGTTCTAAAATATTATTCAAACACGCACTTCACTTTCACAGAGCCAAGTCAATGAATATCCAGAAATTCGTAAACGCACAAAATTCGACGATCTGTGTAGAAGAATTCTAATTGAAAATTAAATAAAGGAAATTATTCCAAAAAATGAAGAACATGATAAACGCTTCGTACACACGCGCGAGGAACGTTTTCAGCCATCTTGTTCCATGTGAACGGCGCAGCTGCCGACCATGTCCCCACTCTGCTTCATCCCTTAACTTTTCGACAGTGAAGGTACAAGCCGGTAACGTGAGGAGTCGAAAAGTTACATGTTAAAAAAATTTTTCGTAAAACTATCCTGTTTGGGCTTCTTTTTATAAAAAATTCTTTAAATCCATTTTAAAATGTTTTTTCTTAATTTTAGAAAATTAACAGATGGAGAGATTTAAATATCTCAAAAGATATTTTAGAATGTTTTGCCTTGTTGAATCTCTCCATCTATTAATTTTCTTCCATAAATATCTCCGAACACTTGCGAGCCTTTCTGATCAAAGTCACAACTTTTCATTCGAGACTACGGTTTTCACATCGATGACAGCAGAGTTGGAATAATGATCGAGGAAGCGCCAAAATGTCGGTCTTGCGAATCTCTGTTTCTGAAACCGCTTTTGAGGAGGCGTAACGAACGCGGGATCGACATAAACAGTGCCGACTCAACGTCATCAATCAGTCGAATATGAATTTTAGTGAACACGTCAAAATATTTTTAAAATGAAGCTTCTCTTCGAGTCGCGTTGTAACGCAAACTGATCGACAAGAACCGTACCGAGCGAAATGCGGCGTGAACGACCGCGCTTTCGAGATACCTGAGCCACAGGATGCTCGGCTGTTTAGCTCATTTAGTCATAAATCATAGCGGTTGCAGGGTCAGCTGGCTCGATCTTGTTCTGAACACTACGTCCCTCGCTCACAATCTATACCGAAAGTCGAACTTTATCTTGACTGTGAAATAAATACGAATTGCCAACAGTGCATGATAAAATTCGACTATTCGCAAATATTCTGCTTATTTGTTTCACAGCCTTACGAATTTCTAGAAAATAAATAAGCAGAATATATTATTTGTACATTCACGCTATGTATAGGGATAACATTTAAATTTAAATATTGCTAAAAAGTATAATATTTGAATTTAAACACAATAGAAAGGAAAAGATTATTAGTGAATCACGGCTAACTGTTTTAAATTTGACAACAATGCATTACAAATTTTCCTCCATAAAATTCTATGTCTTCTCCGTAAGATCGTGTAATTTGAAATTAACATTTTAGAAAAATATGTGGGGAAATAACATTTGAATCGAAACGTTGTTAAACAATTTTTAATAATATTCAAATTCAGATGTTATTTTTCCACATATTTCAAAATATTAATTTCAAATTGCACGATCTTATGGAGAAGACGTAGAATTTTATCGAGGAAAATTTGCAATGTATTATTGTCAAATTTAAAACAGAATGTCGTGATTAACTAATAATCTTTTTCCTTCTATTGTGTTTAAATTCAAATGTTACTTATACTTTTTAGCAATAATTAAATTTAAATGTTCCCTATACATAACGGGAATGTACAAATAACATTCTGCTTGTTTATTTCCTAGAAATTCGTAAGGCTGTGAAACAAAGAAGCAAAATATTTGCTAATAGCCGAATTTTACCGTTGGCAATACTTATTTATTTCACAGTCAAAATAAAGTTCGTCTTTCGGTATAGATTATGAGAGAGTGACGTATTCCGAACAAGGACGAGTTAGCTAACTCTGGAACCGCAATGATTACTAATTAAGTGAATAATTATATACCAACCTGTTTTTCAATTTGCTAATTTCATTATCAATCAAGGGGACATAATGTATGGACATCGTTGCATAATGTATGTACATCGTAAGTCGTAACCTAGCTTTGTTTTATGACTGTTTGTTATAGTGATCAGGATGCATATCGTGCAACTGTTCTTGTTCCATAGGAGTTGGTTCATCGCACATCATCGATGTAGAGGGACCATTCTGACTCGTCTGGACGTTATTTCTTAAATTTATCAATCCGTTTAAGTTTGCTTTCTTCGCTTTCATACGCCGGTTTTGAAACCATATTTTGACCTGACGCTCGGTTAAATCGAGATTTCGGGATATTTCTAGCCGTCGTTTGCGGGAGAGGTAACAATTAAAATGGAATTCTTTTTCTAGTTCAAGGGTTTGGTATCGGGTGTATGTTTGACGAGTTCGCTTCTGTCCATTGTTGTTCGTGGCACCTAAAATCGAGAAAATTTACAATTTATAATTTATAATTACAATTAATGGAAGTAAAAATTAATTATTCTTGTAGAATTCGATAAACTTAAATCCATGCTTCTGTAATATTTAATATTAATTCTAAATAATCTAATTGTTTCCTATGTTAATAATTTAATTATAATCCCTTATAACATTTAAATATACGCCCTATTGTTTTCTATATACGTTTAAATCTACGCCCCGTTCATTTTCGTTTTTGTAATATCCTCAATAAATCTACGCGCCATTATGCTCTACGCTACGTATTTAAATATATTCCGTCACAAAATCTGACGGATTTCTACAAATTGAAAACTATTACTTTCTACATATTACATTTGAATATATTCACTTTGGTAACTTATCACAAGATTCGCCGAATTTTGATCAATATGCGTAATTTCGTTATGAAGATTCTCCTTTTTTTACAAACCATTAGTGAAAGATCTCATCCACGGATAAGTCACATACTTTTGGGCTTCCTCGTTCGTGCTCGCTTGTTCATCAGTTCTGTTTGGGCTCGGTTTCTCATTATTATTGGTATATCCATCGTATCTTTGCTGTACTTCATAGTTTTCGACTACGCTGGGTATCATCATCGATGGGACCATGCAGTTGTTACTGGAAGTAGTTACTGCAATAGGATAACTTTGGTAGTTCGCTAAGTATCTGTTATGCGATCCTGGTGGTTGTTGAATATGTTCTTGAGCGTTCGACGAACATCCAACAGTAGGAGATGCACCATTAGTCGCAGTCGGAGAGCACGAAGGATATTGACAACAAATAGGGGGCACATTTTCCGCATTCGTCGGTATCATTGGATTTTCAGCGGGGTGAAAGTAATCCGCCGTTTTCCTTCCATTACGCAAAATATTCTCCAAGATGCTGCCATAAGGCAATGAATCCTGGCTTTGGCTGTAATTTGGATTGATATATACCTGTTGATTTACCATTTGATGTCCTACTGGATGCGTGTAATGCGCACTCTGTCCATCGGTATGTTCACGCATAGATTGATTAATCCAGTAGTCGGTTTCTTTCGTAGCAGTGTGTGCTGGACCGGTCATTTTGATGGAACAATTATATACACGGTGTAGCAATTAAAATGAATTATCGAAGACACTGACGCATAAATGATTTCGTTATTGAAACTTGTTAAAATATTACACGAAACATTCAATCATGAAGCGCGCACCGAACGATCGTGCCAAATATTTTCAACTCCGTTGTGCAGAGCACAAATTAACTTCGCTGAAAAGTCAGCAGCTTTCGCTTCGCACTTTTCACAAGCACTGAGAACTGCTTCTTAAGAACAACAAAAATAGACTGTTAGT